ACGAAGAACGACCATCAAGAATGAACGTGGGCATGCAATTAATAAGAAAACAAGTAGTAAGTACTACATCACTCCAAAACCATTTAGGAACATTCATATGATGAAGAAGAGACCGAGCTTAAAGTAGATGTCGGTTCTTCCTCTCAGCCACCCCATTTTGCTGAGGGGTGTGGGCACAAGATGTCTGATGAATAATACCATGTTGTTTCAAGTATTTCTGAAATGAACAAAGAAAATACTCTCTGCCATTGTCAGAACGAAGAATTTTAAGTGAAACACCAAATTGTGTATGCACTTCAGCATGAAATTTTTGGAAAATGGAAAAATAATTCACTTCCTTCTTTCATTAAATAAAGCCATGTCATTCTTGAACAGTCATCAACAAAATATTTGTAACCATTGTATGACTCAATTTTAATTGGACCCCAAACATCTGAATGTCAAAAGGACTCAACATACGACTATCAACTCTAGGACGGAAGGAAACCCGATGGTGTTTCCCATATTGACACGACTCACACTATAAAGACGACAGACGACTCAATGACGGAACAAGAAGCTTGAGAGCTTTGAGAGATGGATGGCCGAGTCTACAATGCCACTAAAGAGGAGTCAAAGAGGTTTGAAGTGCAACCGTAAATCACCCCCGTCAAGATAATACAATCCGCCAGCTTCATGCCCTCCACCAATCTTCTTCCCCGTCGTTAGATCCTAAAAAACACAAGAGGAAGGGCAAAATGTGATAGAACAATTGAGGGACTTGGTTAGTTTACTAACAGACATAAGATTAAAAGGAAACTTGGAAATGTGTAAAACAGAAGATAAAGAATGAGATGTTGTGGTCACATTACCAACACCGTAAATGGGGGAAGTAGATCCATTAGCAAAGGTAACATTATTTGATGTAGAGATTGGTGAAAGAGAAGAAAACACACCTGGAATCCCGGTCATGTGATCAGAGGCTCCAGAGTCAATTATCCAGGGTGAGGGTTTAGATGTTAGGCAAGCTATACCTGAATGAGCGAGGGTGGTGGTGTTCTGATGTGAAATGGCCTAAAGGAATCTCTCATACTCCTCTCTTAGGATACTCATCATCTCCTTCCCAGAAGTAGTTGTGACTGTAGAAGATACTGGATCAACTGGTTGAGTACCATTGACTTCACTACTACCAACAGCTGCATGATTAGCCCATGTGGATGGTGGGCCATGTAGATCATAGCATAAGTTAACCATGTGCCCTTCTCTCCCACAATGTGTGCACTTCCTAGTTGTTCTCCCCCTTCCTCTACCACGGCCTCCCCCCGAATCACGACCTCCTCCACTACTACGACCACCCATAGAGTTACCACAGCCTCCCTTAACTGTATGGCCATCTCTTTTGTGCCCATAAGAACCACCTCGAGAGCTAACAAGTGTTGATCTATCGGAAGTTATGTTACTCTCTATGGGGCTAAGAGATATCCTATGAAGACGGGCAAACACTTCTTCTAGAGTAGGGAGAGCAAATCCCCCCAATATCTGTGCTCTGACAGGTTCATATTCTGCTTTGAGTCCCACCAAGAACCGTGTAACATCTAGTTGTTCCCTTTGTTGCTATTGAACTTTGACGTTAGGAGTTAAGGGATGATAGACATTAAGTTCATTCCAAAGATTTTTCATACTGGCATAATATTCTTCAAGAGTCTGATTTCCCTACTGCAAACTGGAGTATTCCTAATAAAGTTGATAAACCCTTGTAGTGTTGTCTTGTCCAGAATAGAGTTTCTTGGCATGTTCCCATATATCCCTTGTTGTATCTAAAAACATGAAATTAATACTGATTTTAGGCAACATACTGTTCCATAGCCACGTCATGATCTGAGCATCCTCTTGCTCCCAATCACTAAAACCCGAGGATTCAATACCCGGTTTCTCCTCCTGTACATGTTTCACTTTCTTCTTAGCCTTCAAAAACACTTCCACCGACTTAGCCCACGGAACATAGTTTTCACCATTGAGTTTGATGGATGTCATCTGGACACTCAAAAAATCAGAGGAGATCATCACACTTGATTTCTGGTCACCACTCAAATCACCCGCCGACGCCATTTCAGTCTGCAAAACTGGTTCTGCCCGTCACACACACAAGAAGAAGAGGTTCCAACCACAGCACTACTGTTCCTCAACAACCACACCAGCACACCAATAGTCACCATGAGTTTGCCCTAACATGCATTCGGCCACTTTGAACACTACTGTACTGCGAACAAGCAGATTTAAAAAAAAAAAAAAACACAGAAAATCCCCCTTGAAACAACTCATTCAAAGGTTCAGACCACCACCACCGCACCTACTCGACCACCACAGCTGTCACGCATGGTGACAGCAGTTCACATGAAAAAAAAAAAAAAACTCTTTTTTTCTGTTCACTCAATTATTGCACTTGTCCACTGTCACCAGAGGTCAACCCATCAAAACCCTAGAAGTTGCAGCAGAAACCTGGGTTTGCCGCAGTCTTCTAACCCAGGTTTCGCACACCAGAAAAAAAGAAGAAAAAGAAAATGAAGAAAGGAGAAGGAAGGGAGAAGGAAGAAGGCTGCAATGGACCTTTATCAGTGGTGCTCTGATACCAAGTTTGTATTCAGCCGCACTAAGAAGGAAGAAGAGAGAGAGAGGAGAGAAGAAGAAGAAGGAGGAGGAGGAAGAAGAAGAACAATGTCAAACTGAGTAGTCCAAAAGTCCTACACAGTCGACCATTCATTTTTAATTAGTAAACAGGCATACAAAGACAGAAATGCCCCTGTCTATGTAAGAGATATACAAAGACTAAACTACCCCTGTTTATTTGACTCTAACAGCAGTTAAATCAATTCTTACTACTTCTACCATGTCCTTTTTGGTCTACCCTAGTCCTTCTAGCCCCTTCAACTTGCAATATCACTTCTTACAGGTGCCACTGATGGTCTTCTATGACCAGACCATCCTAGTCTACTGTCTCTCATTTTACCACTTACTGAAGCTACTTGTAGGTTCCTTCAAATGACTTCATTTCTGATCCTGTCCTCTCTAATTTTTCCACTCATCCACCCCAGCACATGCATTTCTGTCCCACTCATTTTATGGACATGTTTCTTGACTACACAACACTCTGCTCCATACAGCATAGCTGGCCTTACATCTCTGTCTAGTTGATCTACTTACTGATACTTAAAAATTTAAAAAAAAAATGTCTAAGCAAAGAACCTGCAGATTGTTATGTTTCTTATGAAATATTCAATAGCTATCTTAACATATAAAATGTCACTTAGGGAAATGCTAAGAGAATTAGATTCCCCTACAATTCAACCTTCTAGGTTTTCTACACTATTCTAAAGCTCCAGTATATCTATTTCCCAACAAAAGGATCAGAAGATTTATAGGAAAAAAGAAAGAAAGGAAAAACAAGAAATCAATGAAAAACTTGTTTCCAGAGTTTTTATTGAAGAAGTTGAGGAACAAAGTATAACTGATGGAATTCTCATTCAGCTAATAAAATTCTCATGATAAGTATACAGGTCATCAAGTTTAAACAGAGAGAAATATAACAATATACAAATAAATTTTTGCTGAGTAACGGTAAATGGTTTATTAGTTATAAAAGAAGTAAGGATACATCAGGAAGGGAGAACCCAAAATAGGAGGATAGCCTCAGATAACCACCCAAAGAAACAAGAAACTCAAATGAGTTGGCCCCAATTCAACTGGTCCCTTGAAACCCCTTGTTTTGCTAATACATCAGCTATTCCATTGGCTGCTCTCAGAGTCGACATTACTTGTGCATGCAGGTCCTCTAATAGTTTTTTTCAGCTCTCGGTACACATATTTATAGCTCCAAGTCACCTTTTGATCATCTTTCAGCCAAGCTATGACTATTCTTGAGTCTCCTTCCACTTCCACCTCTTTCCAGTTCAAACCTTTTTTTAATCAATATTCCAGTTCAAACCTTTTAGTCTCCTCAGGCCTGTGAGTGCTGCTGAAGTCTCTACCCAAATTGCATTTCCAACCCTTAACGGACCTGAGAATAGTTCTAGAATATTGCCAATTTGCCACGTTCATCCAATTACTCCACCTATGCTTGAGGGACCAAGGTTATCCAGACTGCACCCATCAAAGTTATGTTTTAGATGTCCCATAGGCAGAGGTACCCAACTAACTACTTGACTGTCTAGGAGCAGAGGGGAAGAGTCTTACTATGTCTTTGTTATCTAGAAAGATAGTAATGTGGAATATGTGCCTTGTTCACAAGGATCAAAAGGAGTAGGTCTCTAATTCATTCCTTTATTTCCAGCCCTCACCCCCCCCCCTTCAAATTTGGTATCATGCCAGCGACTTGTTTGACATGCATGCACTTCCCAGGTTTAAAGAACTAATATGGTCATGACCAACTAAAGGTTTTAGCAAAATGTATCATATTTTCTGGAATCTATTCACATTTGTATAAGGAAAAGAGAAGAAAAAAATAATTTGTTTTTTAGGATAGAAGCCATTTCACTATTCAGTCTTGTGTTCAAATGAGGTGGCTATATCTCTATAGGCATAATGCCTTAAGGAGTTAAATGGTCAAATTTTGGGATAGTAGGTATTAGGGGCAACCTTGTCTGAACCTTCTTCTATCATAAAAGCTGCAGTTATTACACATAATCTCGTACTAGATGGCTTTGACTGGTGTAAGGGTCATATCTAAAAGATGCCATTTTCCCATCCTTTTCTTCTTTTGATAAGTAACATTCATTAGAAAAAAAAAAATAATAATCTCTTCACTACCTCACTAAGGAGGCAGCAGGCAATGACGTACAAATACTATTCCAATACCAAAACAGAACAAACACAGCATACTGCATATCCACTACAGAAGAACTAAAAATAAAGGCCCAGCCCTTACATTTTCCCATCCTTTCAAATGATTAAAAACTACTTATCTAGTGATTTTCATATTTCACAATGAAACCACAAATTCCATCAACAAAGAAAGAAAAGTATACCTTGGGAAGATGAATATATGGTTGCGGCCACCTGATAGACGGAAATATGGCATTTGACTTAGAATCTGAAAGCAGAAACTGAACAGAGAATCAAAACCAATGGAATTTCTTTTTACCCTCAAATGAAATTCTCAAAACAAATGCAAGAGAAACTACAAAAGTTGTTTCAAAGTAACAAAAAGTAAAACATCCTTTCAAATATTTAGATCCCCCACTTAACGATGCAAAGTATCCGACATAGAACAAACCAGTTCCTTAACTATTCTAATTGAACCAGCTGGAATTATTGTCAGACATGGAAAGCAATCATGTGAATGCAAAAGTCTAAAAGTCTAATTATGTTGGTTGGCATACAGACCTACATGAACTACATTTTAATGAAATATGCACCTCTATCATTTGTATAAAGAGAAAGATTTTACCTTCACATATGTCTGGTTTATCTCCTTATCATTGAAACCCCCCATCATCCTAACACATTTGACATAAGCCGGAACAAAAAACAGATCCGCATCCTCTTTCTTCAATGTCCGAAACTTCGATTTCAGAAGGAGCCTATGAATTTTGACCTAAAAAGCAGAGAAAAGAGCATTTCAAAGAAAAACCAACACTTCACTTAAATTCATCATGAAAGGGGGAATGTGTTTCTTTTTCACAATGAGCAATTATATTCAAGAAAAACAATGAAATGCACTCGAATTTCGCCCAAAATGAGAATACTTTCTCAACAAAAATAAAAATAGAGAAAAACCCAGAATTCTACAAAAACTTTCTAGCAACTAAACAATCACCTGCGTTCCCCACTGCCCTTTTACGCACGAATCCGCGGAGATCTTACCGTCCCTTCCGTACATCAACTCCTTCAACCCATCAATCTCGTGTTCATCGTAGACATAAATTTTGAGAGATAGATGCGAACCATAGCCTCGATTAGGCCAAGAAAGGGAACCCCCATTGCTGGGTAAGAGGAGATCTTGAGATCTCCTAACGTCACTGGAGGAGAAACTACAGGAACTGAAGGATTGATCAAAGATCCTCGTGATGAAGAACGTCGTCACTACCAAAGCTAGTGTCCCAATCTGGTGAGTTCTCGTACAGGGAGAGTGAGAAGCCAATACTCTGTTTTTGTTGGCTAAGCTTCCCATCGACCAAACACGAACAGTTGAAGTGCAAGAGTTCGTTGTGTAGTGATTTTGATGTTTGAATCTTGGGATTTATGTAGGTATTTTTAGGGAGAATGACGGTTCAGCCTACGATCAGAATTGTTATTGTTAGGCGCAAAGTACAGTTGGGGTGGTGGAGAGGTGTCAATTGGACGGATTTGGTCTAACCCGATCCAGTCCGAAGTGAGTCCCCTAAAAAATGGAATGGATCTAATCCGGTCTAAATCAAATTTATTAAAATGTAAATGGATAGGATTGGATCAATCCAAACTGAATAAAATATCTAAAATTATGTAAAAGTACTTTGATAAAAATATTTTCATAAAAGTGTTTTTATAAAAGCACTTTATTCTTTGGAAAAGTGCTTTTGTGAAAGTACTTTTATAAAAACACTTTTGTAAAAGTACTTTCATAGACTTTTTTATAAAAATACTTTTGTAGAAAGTATTTTCGTAAAAGTGCTTTCATAAAAGTATTTTTATAAAAGTACTTTCGTAGAAGTGTTTTTACAAAAGTACTTCGAAAAAATGTTTTTGTAAAAGTACTTTTGTAAAAGCACTTTTCGAAAAGTACTTCCATAAACTTTTATAAAAGTACTTGTAGAAGTGCTTTCGTAAAGGTACTTTTATTAATGTACTTTCATAAATGTGCTTTCATAAAAATACTTCATAAAAGTGATTTTATAAAAATGTTTTCTTAAAAGTACTTTCATAAAAGTGATTTTATGTTATTTTCAATTTTGATTGATTTCAAATTGGACAAGGGTTTGGCCTCATGATCGGATTATTGGAAATTTGGTTTAGGTCTAATTCAAACTAATAAGAATATGGACTAATTTATTTTGGATTGGCCCAATCCAATAATTATAATGGATCGTCCAAATCCGATTTGATAAAGTTTGGTTCGGACTAGATCCAAACCAAAATCGGTCGATTGACACCCATAGTGCCAGATCAAAATTGATGTCAATTCACAGGTGGGCAATGATGTATAAAGTGGGGGTATTTGACATTTTGAATTTTTATAGGTCTGAAATAGAATTCAGAAATCTACAATGGGCCTACCCATACTTTTCTGCTTATGGGTACTAATGGAGGCCCTTATGGCAAAACATGATGGTAAGTGGCTTGTCAATGGAAAAAAAAATTTGAAAGGTAAATTTTTTATTTAAAAATTTATTGAAAAAATGTTTTTTTAAAACAAATAAAAGTTTTAGATAATAATATATTTAATTTAATAAAATAAAATAAATAATAAATAATCACAGCCACAGGGTAATAAAGTGAAAGAGGGAGAGATGACTTTTGTCATTGTATTTTTGTTTGGGAAAATTTTAATTTAGTACCCTAAACTTTGGGGTAGTGTCAAGTTAGTACTCAAACGTTAAAATGTCTTACTGCAATATCCAAATTTTCGAAAATTGTCAATTTGGTCTCAAACCGTTAATTGACTTTAACTGACAAATGAAATGACAAAAATACCCCTAGAGGTCCATAAAAGAGAGAAAATTATTTTTTAAATGTCAAAATTACCCCTTTCAAACCCTTATTGATTTAGACCGAGAACCTCTGTTAACAACAAACACCAGAGGTCCTATTCGAAGTTGTAGTGTTCGTTGCCAACGAGTTCATCTTGAGAATCATTATTGATGAAGGAAGATTTGGCCCGACCTCGTAACCACTCAACACGTGGCCGAGGCAACAGCTCGGCACAACAGCACGCCAAAGCGTGAGCTCCGAAAGGAGGAACCAGCAGTCCGAACTCCCTACAAGGAGCCTGAACTCCCCGTAAGGAGCCCGAGCTCTCCCTTAGGCCCAGAGCCTTACGAACACAAAGGGCAACAACCCGAACTGGCCTGCCCCATGGTAGTTCGGGCCGCACCTCTATCTGAACTCAAGACTTAACCTCGCACACCACTCCAGCACTTCGCCTCCAGGACACCAAACTGAACAAACCACACCGTACCTGACACCGAAGGAGTTCGTATACAGGAGCGGCGCACCTGGCTGACTTGGGATCTGACGCTTGACAGCTGCACTCCAACGGCCACCTACCACCGCCACCTGCCACCGCCATCTCCAGTTACAGAGACGGCTCCGATAACGAGCAGTGGTGGTTCTGTCCCAATAGAGGTGATGACACCCGAACTGGCAAAAGCACAGAAGTAATCATACCCGACCCGACAAAAGCCTAGGAGTGAGTGCGCGAAGTGGTTATAAAAGGCTCTCTACCCCCCGAGGACAAGGTATGTGAACTTTGCACCATCTGGTTTTATCTTGCCTTTGAGAGAATATTAACTTGAGCTTCGGAGTAATCTCATCGGGTTCCTCCCCGAAGACTCCCCACTTTCTTCTCCGTTTCAGGCCCCCTGTTGCTCCAGTCGAAGGCAAGGTCGTTGACAGTTAGGACCGACCGGATTGTGCACCATCAATTGGCGTCGTCTGTGGGAAATGCTTCTAAAAGCCTCACTCTAAAACTCTCATAACCTCTTTTTTCCAAAGATCCCAACACTCATGGCTTCTTCCAGGAATGTCGGACGTGGCATGGAGATGAACACCACTGGGGAACAACTTCAAGTCCCCGTGGTGTGCATCGGACAGTTCACCATCCCCCTTCCGGTGGATGGGATCCCCAGCTTGAATGCACCACAAACAGTGGCGCCCGTAAACCTTCCTGCCATGAACGTCCCCTTTCCTCTCCCTGTCGAAACAACCTTTACTGAACCAACTGTTGTCCCCCTGGCGACCAGCCAAAACCAGTTGTACGACCTGATGCAATGCATGCAGGCAATG